TTTGTTAACCTTGAGAGAATAAGAGAGCAGGTCCTGCACCCCTCCAAAAATGGTACATGAAAGTGTTTCCGAAAGCACCACCGTTGATATCCTTTCTTTAGGAGCCCTTCTCCCCATAGTTCATACTGCATGTCCAAAGCAGGCTCCTTAATACTTGCGTGAAAGGTGGGCGAAGACTAGATCCATTGTCCCAGTGACCTCTGCAGTTTTTCTATATGATAGTATAAAATAGAGATATTAATACATTATATAACGTAAGTTAGAGATGTTTTAATGTTTGTGAGAATCAAACTGTCCAAAGCTACTGGTCTTAGGTTTATTTCTTGTTAGATTTTTAAATTGAACAGGAAAGTATTCATTGTATTATAACTTACAAACTGTTGCAAAATTTTTTTCCTCTCACAGAGAGTCTTAAATTCATAACTTCTTTAGTGATCCACCAGTACGCTTTATGCTTGTTTATCATTTGTTGCTGAATGCTACCTATAAAGTACCAAAACTGTGTCAGCTTGTGATCCAGTAAAGAGTTAAAATTTCCTGCCCCAAAAATCCAGTAGTTATCTTCAGGATGCTTCCAGAGTTGAAATGTCTTTTTTGTGATCTGAGTGCATAAGAGAAATCTTAAGGCCCAAAACAACGGTTTTGCCACCAAGACAGAAAAATATTATTAATACTGTAAAATACATATACATATATATATACCAGAAACTGAAGAGCTTTATGCAGCCCTGACTTTGAAATACCTGCTTTTATTAAACTGTACAAATCCTCTTGTAATTTGCCAGGGTGCTTGATCCTTTGTTTATGGCCAGACTAGTGTAAAGTCTTGGTTACAAAACAGGCTTTAAGGGACAAATCTTGATGAGTCCCAGATATTGGACTTGGCTGGAGGCTGGGGAGGTGACAGAATCCTCTTTAGTGTTCTGCACTGCAGTAGCATTAGTGTTAAACCTGCCCTTTCTGAAGGGATTTGTATGGCATGTGTTTAGTCACAACTGAGCATGTCCCATGCCCAAATGGCTTGTGTGGCTGCAGGCAAAGAGCTTCTGTAAAGCCATTGTGGCTTCCTCATGGTACCCGGGGCTCCCACCCCTGCTTGCTCAGGTGGAGACGGACTCCACTCTGTCCTGGGTTTTGATACTGGGACCTCCTGCATCCTTCCTCTTTACTTGTTGTTTGTATTTGTAATATTTAGTGAAATAATGTGATTTTTTTACAGTGTTGATGAGTCTTGTGATGAAAGTGAAGTTGCACAGAAATGGGTAAAGTCACCAAATCTCATGACTTTTGCTGATGAGTCTTGTGATGAAAGTGATGTTGCACAGAAATGGGTGAAGTTGCCAGATCTCATGACTTTTGCTGTTTCACTTAGTAGGGCAGCTTGTGGGGTGTGTGACTGTGCAGTGAAAGAACCTCTGTCAAGTAACGAGGAGAAAGTGTCTTGTTGTTCATGTTCTTCTCTCAAACTCCAATGTAAGAAGAAACGGCAATTTTAAACCTTTGCAGAGTGAAAAAAAAGAATTAGAACAACAGAACTGTCTTTCAGTTTGCAAACCCTTGGGTTTTCCTGGTCCAAAACTGGTCGTCCTTTCTGCTGGGTTTACCCACACTGAGTAAGAGGCAGTCAACACTACATGGCATTTACTGTCTAAAATGTTCTACCTTAAAAATAAAGCCCTCCAAAACTTGTAAACTATTTTTTATCTTTATTGAAATACAGGCTGTAGTACCTGAGAGAGGCTGTCTTGGAGGTTCATTTGATGCTCAGCTGATTGCAGGGTTTAACTTCCTGGATAGGGATAAACATGACACCTCTTTTCTCCTCTCTGAGTAAGCAAGTGGAATTTTTCATAGTGTTTTCACTTAATACCCCTCTCCTTTTCCTCAGCAGGCTCACAATGTATTGAACTGGGCAATATACTGTGTGGACTTGAGGCTTTCTCCTGTAAACTGTGATGCAACAGGTTTGTTTTGTGTTAATTGGTGCTGGTAACCCTTCCTGTGGCCCACAGCCTAGGATGCAATTTCCCATTTTGTGCCAGGGTAGGAGGATCCCAGGCACATCTCGTGGGAGAGCTGGAAAGTCCAGACAAGTGATAACTTTGCTTAGTTGAAGGTAATCTGTTTATCTCTTGCAAAGTGCCCTTCCTACAGCGATTAAATGTTGAGCATGGTATGCATGTGTGCGTGCAAGAGATGGGGAGATTGGAGTAACTCGGCCGTAAAGCGACAGAGGCATATGCAATCTGGTCGCGTTACGTAATTCCCCTTGGTAGAAGGCTCTGAACTGGGTCAGATCTGTGTGAGCAATGAGGGCAGTCTCACGTCTTTGTAACACGTACCTGCCCATCGGGCCGTGTTCGGGTCATGTTTTCCCATTTGACCAGGCAGGGTGGAAGCCATCCAGGGAAACGGAGCTTGTGCAATGGCAAGCTGGAAGGGGGGCTGCCAGTGTCCATCGTGGGGAAGGAGGAGGACAGACAGCTACAGGACAGTAGGCACGGAGGAATTAACCATCTTTGTTTCACTCAGCTTCTGGAAGATTTAATTAAGTCTTTTAGACAGCTTCTGTTTTACTCTCCTGCTGGCTGCAGCTGCTGAACGGGTGTCAAGATTTAGCTTTGAAAGACCATGTACTTACAGCGAAACAAAAACAAAGCTTAGATTAGAGCCCTTTTGTACTGCAGTTTGAGAGACAGCGGTTCTCCATTGGATTTTGATTTTATTTATGGAAATAGGAGGACCCATAGCTGCTCCTTTAAACAGCTTTCTACAAAATTTTTAAGGTTCTGCAACAAGCAATGTAACATGAAAGAGGAAACCCAAGCGAATACTGATGGGGAGAAGCTGTAGCATGTGTTATTTCTTGACCTAGGGTTTTTAGTGGCATTAGAGCACTTTACAGTCTACTTCACCTGTTTGTGTAAGAAATTGAATTAATTTATCCTATGTTAGTAATATTTGTATTTCTTCATTTCTTAGTTTGCTAGGATAGTAAAACATATACTTTTTTAAAATATGTTTTTGTTGATCAGGTTTCCGCCAGGCAGCATGCTAGGCGCTTTACAGCACACTATGGGCAACACGTGAATAAATAAATCCCCTTGAAATCCCAGGTGACCAGCAGAAAGCCACAGAGGTAGCAGCACTGGCCATCTCCCCCTGAACTGTCAGGAAACATAGGCAGCTTTACAATTACAGGTTTGAACACAACCTGGCTATTTTTAAGAGTAAAATGATGTTTGTTTTTCTTTGGGCTGAGTAACAGCTGGAAGGGAACATTGTAGCTCTTTGAAAGCAAAAATAAGCTGCTGTTTTGAAATAAATATAGAATTTAGCCTAGCATTTGTCAGGAAAAGCTTCTGTTAATAGGTTGCTTTGTGTCTGCAGTCCCTGACTGAAGTCCGCAGACCTCAGAAACCCAGCAGTGCTGGATCCTTGTGTCCTGCAGGCAGTGGGGTTGAGTACCAGGCTAACAGCAGCCGCAGAAGCTGAATGAATCTGCCTGGCCTGTGTAACCTGGCACCAGTCCACTTGAGCTAATTTAGATTTTGGCCTTTTCTACCTTCTGCTTCCCTAAGCCAGTGTATTCTGTGTGGCACACGTAATAGTGTAGGGACTTCTGTTGTCTCTGCCTCGTGGTAAAGTGCTACTGGGACCCTCATGGGGAAATGCTGCATATTCCAATGTAAATCCCTTCAAAGCCTTCTCTTCTCTTGTGTTTATTTTCTCTTTCTCTTTTGCTTTCTCACAGACACTTTGCAATGTTATTGAGAAGCCAAGAGAGGCAAAGCAGGAACTGATGACTTCAGCTGGAATAACTCAGCATACTTGACAGTTAGATTTTCAGCCCTGCTACAGGAGTGTTGGGTTGTGTTTTAACCTTCAGGTTCCCAAGCTTGTCCAGTACTGGCTGAAACACAGCAGTTTCAGTGATTTCTTGAAAAGTTTGCACATATGTATGCACTTCTCAACAGTACTGCTGCTGTATCCGCTTAGAAATTTTTTTTTTTTCAGATGTCTGGTTAGTTCTCAAATGTTTTATAGTTTACACTGGGAATGTGGTGTAAGCAGGGGGGAAAATGAATGATGAGGAGCCATTTCCCTGTTCTTTCTTTAAAGCTTCCTGGAGGGGGTTTGGGTAGTGATTCTTCTGAGGCTTGATTTCTGAACGCATCCTTCGCTTTATATTCCTCAATAAGTCTTCTTTTCCTTTCTTGGGTGTGCTTCTTACTTTTGATCCGCTGTACCCAGCTACCTTATGATAACTGTCCATGAGCGTGGAAGAGGAGTCCCGGACAGGTGTCCGTGTCCTAAAGGGGCAGTGCATGGTCGGAGCTGATGAACTTGTCAGTTCATAATTGCCCTGGCCCTCTCTTTTAGGCTTTTGTACCACAATTTCTGCTGTGATGAAACACACAGTGTTTCATGTCTGAACATGAACATGAACAGTGACTTCAGACAGGCTGTGATAAGTAGCTGAGTGACCTTCAGAGCAGGCAGAGCTGGGTCAGGATGGTGGTCTCTGTCTGTGACCCCCTGTCTGCACAGGGTGAGGATGTTTGCAGGCGCTCAGGAACCAGGGTAATGGGAAGCAACGTGGAATTCTGAGATTGGTCCTTTTTACTGTACTTCACATTTGGGCGGTAGTGTTGTGAAATTGTTCACGTAATGTATTTATTTTTGCACCTTTGTATAATCAGATGTTACTGTGTACATGTCAAGAATACCAAGAGAGAGGCTTCTTTGAGTGATTAGTTGTTTATATATTGTTTCTGATATTGGTTCTACAGCTCTAGGCCTCTATCATCATGATACATCGCTTAGTGCATCTGTTCTTTACACACAATTTGTCCACAGTCTGCTATGCTTGTTACTTAAAAGACTGATAGCAAATTTGTGTTTGGTACCTCGTAATTGCACTCTGATTTTAAGCCTTGGGAAAGATGGGTATGTATTGGGTTCCTTATGTATGTGCCTCTTTTCTTTTCTTCTCGCAGGGCTGCCTCACGGTAGAACATGAGCAGGTAATGCACAAGGAGCACCACTGGGAATCATGTCAGACGAGTCAATCTCAGGGAGTGATCCGGACCTGGACCCGGACTTGGAGCAGGAGGATATGGAAGAGGAGGAGGAGGAAGATGAAGAGGAGGCGATGGAGGAGGACAATGATGGGGATGACGAGGAAGACTTACTTGATGAGAATGGTAAGTGAATGGGGTTGTGAATCTGCACATACATTTGTTATATATAAATGATGTTACTAATTCTGGTGAGAAACATTTCCGTAGGCAGCATAAGGGTTAGGATTTGTCCGAGGATTGGCAAGGAGAAGTGCTTATGTGGGTGTTTGGTTCAAATAGGGATTTAACGTAGGTTAAATTCGGACTTCTGGCCAAAAAAATTTTCCATTGTATAAGCAAGCCACAAACACAACCTGTAAGGAGGATAGAATTGTTAAAGTAACTACAGATTCTAGAGAAACAGCAAAATAAAGAAGTAAATAAATCACTTTACGGCTACTTGTACTGTTAAAAGGATCCAGTGAAATTAATCATATTTTTATCAACAGTTTACCCATAAGTAAACAATTTAATGGATACTGTGGGCAATTACTGCCTAGTGACAATAATCATCCCTAACATTTTGGAAATGTTCTTTTCTAAAAGCATACAGGTTTTTTTATATCACATTGGGAAAACCTGAGACTGTAGTTTTACAATATAGAGGGTTTGGTGGCAGTGCCGACTAAGTTCACACATTCTGTCCCCAGCTGGTTATAATTGCCCCACTCTCCTGTTCAGTTAGGACCACTTTAAAACAGTGATTTCCAGTAATTTGGATGTGTGTACAGATTTTTGAATGCACCTATTTCAGCCTACTGAGATTAGACTTCCTTTTCTTAGCCTAGAATGTGTTAGACAGGTACTTCTCGCTTCTTCTTGTTCCTGAAGTATTTTTGGCTTCAAAGGAGCTTATCTTTATGAATTTTGTTTTCTTTTTTTAATTCTTTCTGTCACTTGCTACTTGAAGCTGCTATATTGATTTAAAATACTTATAACATGTTTACACAAATTAATTTTATTCCTCTGATTTTAGTCACATGATGATTTTTCTCTAATGGGAAAGTAGCAGAAATGGAAGTGTTAGTTCAGATAAGAAACAAGGGAATTGCTAGGAGACTTTTACAGCCACAGAATACTTTCTCAGAGACATTGCTAGTGACCTTGTCAGTTTGTTCACAGGAAGCTGCACCCAGCAGAGCAATAGGAACCATGCTGTTGTAGACAAACTTTTATTAAGAGAGAAGGGTGGCTATTTTTCCTGTCGAAGTGGGTCATCCCCCATGGTTGTTTTATCACGGACCCGTGTGTTTTATCATCTACATCTATGTTGTTGTGGCTGAATACTCGTATCATTTCTCAGGATTATTCTATCCAAGCAAACAAAATTAATGTATGTATATCAGAACATTGCTAAGCATTAATAAAACCTCCTTATTTTTATCTTAATTTCAGATCTGAGTAGAAAACACTAGAAATGTGTTTATGCTTTATATTTCTTTAGTAACTAATTAAAAATAAATTTTAATGAATGTAGGAAGTACTGAGGAGGAGTAAAAGGCAACTTACATATAATTGACATAAAATCTTTTCATAGTTATTCTTTATGTACAGAAAAAAAGGTACTTAATCTGAGCAAAGCTACATCATCTCTGAGCTTTCAGATTGTTTCAGCTTTAATGCTGTGTGCTAGAATACCAGGATGCTTTCTGTGTGCTTAGCTGTATAGTTGTTGTTGTCTATGGAGGTGTCCACTCTGTTTTTCCTGCTCTCTCTTCACAGCTATGCATTGCCTCAGAAAATGTCGTTTGACAATATAGCTAATAGAAAACCAGGCTACTGTTATTTGACCTATGAAATAAAGCTAATTTCAGAATTAAGGAAGAGGATCATTTTATTTTGCCCATCTGATGTTTATAGTCCTGTTTTTTTGTAGTTGTCCTCTATTCATAAAAATCCTCTTTGGGAACACACAATTACTTTTATTCCTGAGAAAAGTGGAAGCGTTCTTACGATTTTATTGTAAGTTTTTCTTAAAAGCTTAATTTTTATCATTTATTTTAGAACTTTGTTCTCCCCCTCCCCAGCCATGCTGTTCTCCTTCACTCCTGCTCTTTTGGTTGTTGGGAAGATGTTCCATGAGAGACCCTGGGTGGACGGGGCCCTCCCCGCCATGAATGGGCTCTTGCATGTTTCTAGCACTGCAAGGTTTAAAAGATTATTAATCTTTCACAGTTATTTCCTTGGAAGTGCTATGGCATGCATATGCACGTTCCCCACACTGAAAATTATTACTTGTTTTAAATAAAGGTGATGGTAACAATTATAAAACTAACATTTTTGTTTTCTTGCTTTCAAAGTAGCGGCAGTGTTTTAGGCATACCGGTCTTCCATGTTTTGATGGTGATGCAGATTACTTAAGAATCTTTCAGGCTTAATGTAATATTATCCACACCTGTTGATACTGCATAATCTGGTCTCAGACTTTGCAGTGACTTGGGTTTTGCATGTTTAGTCTGCTTTTATCTTTTTGATATATTTTGTGTGTGGAATTAATACTTCTGTGGTTTCACTTTAAGAACTTTCTTGGTCAAGTACTTTTAATATTCTGGTGATTAAAAGTCCGATCTTCAGTTTGGGGGAAGTTATTCTCAGTTCTGCTCTCAGAGCCTAGAGGATTTTTTGCATTTGGTGTAGACTGTCCCATGGATGGTGTAGATGTTAGTTTGGACTTTTAGGATGCAAACTTTCAGTTTACCTGAAAGCTATTCTTAAACCCTCTCCCTCCTGCCACCTAAATAAGGAAGAAAAGAGCTTAGAAGTGTAATTTTCTGAATATATCTAAACAAATGAGAATTGGTAACTACACTGTTTGGGTCCTGTGCATGTTTTTTCAGTGCTGGTGAGTTAATGAATCTTGGCATAAAGTGTCAGAGCCTCTATAGCTTTGGTCTCATGTGCGAAGCACTTATTCCAGGAAATACGTACCATGACCCTTACTAGTCATTACTAGTGGGGTGCCAGACTGCGCACCCATCCAAGCAGCACACTTCAGTCCTAGCCAGCAGCTTCTGCTGCTCTGCCAGCCTTGTCATCCCTGCCCACTGCATCCGTTTTCTCATCCCTCATGGGAAGCTGTGCTTTTTTCATGCTCAATTTTGTGATGTCAGGGTGTGCCTGCTAACAACTCTTCTGTTAACTCCCTAAGTCCTTTTCACTGGAAATGTGATGGACTGATAACTGTAGAGATAAAGGACTGTTTTAATTCCTGTACTTTTTTCTCTGATCCCAGTCGTTGCTCAGGGCTATGCAAGACTCCATAGAAATAAAAGCTAATTTGAGCAAAGGGGAAACAAACCTCCAGTATGGGTTTTGCAGATCATTTCAAATGCAAGGACCTCAGAGCTTTCCTGAGGAAAAACATTGAGTGTTTGAACAAACCCCTCTGCAGAGTTCTATTTTTGCATTATTTCTGAATGTCTTTGGATTATTATGAGTGAAGTGGATGGAATTCTTTGTCTCTTACTTCTACATGTTGCTGTAATTCTGCTATTAATAGTAATGGCAAGTTGCGTGTTTACTTGCCTGTGAGGATACGGGTTAAACACATATTTAAAGGATTGCTGAGGGTGAAAAGTGTTAAGAGCTGATTGTTTCAGCTCTCTGAAAGATGACTTAATAAGCACAGACATTCAGATACTGTCCTCAAAGGCTGCTAGTTGGGTTTGCATTACAAGGTGTGCGGTACAACAGATAGATCAAGGGATTGGAAGCAAGGACTTCTGGAGTATAGCAGTCAACAGACTTAACAATACCAGGGTAGTACTGCAGTTTTTAATGCACAAATGTACCAGACAACACCAAATAATAGCCTCTCAGACTGCTACTATTACGGTATCAGGATCTGCACACTATTAGCCTTGTGTTCTGCCCTTTGTTGCCCTCTTCAGCTCTTTTCTCCTGTCCTGTCCCCTCTTTCTTTCCCCAGGTTTGGGGCGGTGCTAGCTCCATGGCATCTCTGCTTTAGTGGAGGAGAGCAGGAAAAGAAGGAGGCAGCCTGCACTCCCTCTTCCCACCGCAAACTCACCCCGCTCCCTCTTCTCCCTGACAAAGTGCTGGAGCAAAATAAAACTGCTCTGTGTAGGTTAGGATGGACATAGGGAAGGGGGTGAATTAGGAGACACTGTTGTATCGGTGGTACAGAATCACAAATCCCAGGAGACTAGAGGACATCCAGGTGCAGTCTCAGACTGCTTCACCCTATGGTGAAGGCACCAGAGTCAAGTCTCAGCTCCTCTGAAAGACCAGGTTGCCACAGGAGGTGTAGTGAGGGGAAAGAAAGAGACCCTTGTCCTCACCCTAGCCTCTTGAAACCCTGCTCATCCCTGTCCGTGAGATTTAATAGTGTCGTGAAAGTTTCAAATAGTATCACCTCTTGCTTCTGGAGCATGTTCCAGAATGTTTTTCTGTGACTCCTTTTGTTTGAGCTTAAGTGTGCTACTAAGAGCTCGAGTCTTTAGTTTCCCAAGATACCAGAGCAGGAATACTTTACTTCAGATGACTGACACTGTTAATTCAGCTTTGTAAAGAGCTTCGCTTTTCCTGGATTCTTACTAGAGAAATGCCCGTTTTGTTAAAGGGATACTGCTAGGTGAGATTTGCTTATAATTTTTGCTTGGTTATTGGAGAAAAAAAAAGTTCTCAGAAAATTACAGTAAGAAGGGATTATATTTAAGATGGTGTTCATTTGTGACTCTCTAAATCCTCATGGTGCATACTATAGGAGTACAATTAAATTGAAAGTGAAATTGCTTTGCACCTGACTGGATAATTTTCTTGCATAACCTGAGAGGAAAAGTAAGTAGTTAATGCCATACTTGGTAGAAAGTTCATTAGTACCTGGTGTTATTAAAGCCAAAATCATTTTGTAAATCTGTTTCTAACGTGTTGTAAATCTGTTTCTAACGTGATGCGGAAGCGTGGATTAATATTCACCCCTGCCCCTGCACGCAGTGTGTGAGCGCCTTCTCCAAAGCGGCTTCCCTCTTTTTTGTGCAGGGTCTGTGAAGGCCTCCTGGAGGCGCAGGGAGCTGCTGCCTCTTCTGGGAGCTGATGTTATTCCCAGTGCTTCCAACCTCAAGCTC